TGGGGTTTCCCTGGGTTCCCTCCCCCCCAAACCCCCTCCCTCGTTCCAGCCACAGCCACTCCTGTTTTGAGTGCCACGCTCACCCAAAAATCCAAAATATGACTCTAATGCAAAAGGAGAGTTTTATCACTGGAAATACTTTGAAATCTGGATTCCAAACCCTCTGATACAGGCGGGTAAGGCAGAAGCAAGAGAGGGTGGTGTGCAGAGCTCCAGGGTCCCCCTCGAAAGCCAAGACACCCCGCCCACCCTCCCCCCAGAAGAGACCCAGCCCGGCCCCATGCCAGCGCCCGCCTCACCCGATGTGCAGCACGGCCGCCTGGCTCTCCATCTCCCTCATCCACAAAGCGATCTTGTCCCGCTTGGTGCGGATGTTGACAACAGCACCGCACACCGCCCTGCTTTGCTCCTCAAAGCTCTCCCCGATCAGACACAGCAGCTGGGCCCGAGGTGGGGGGCGGTGGTGAGAACTCCAGCTGGGGCCCAGGGACTGCCCCGCCATTCTTGAGACCACTGCCAGCAACAGGCCACCCCAGCCCCAACCCTCCCCACGGGGACCCTCCCCACGGGGACCCTCCCCAGGGGGACCCTCCCCTCCCCCACTCACCGTCTCCAGCCACAACCGGTCCAGCTCACTGTAGCGCCCCTGCCTGCTGAAGCTGACCAGCCAGCGGCCCCCCTTCTTGTTCCTGCTGTCCTCCCACATGGGTTGGATGCCATCCTGCCAGGCAGATGGCAAGTCAACTGCCTCCTTTTGTGTGGGGGGAGGGGATGCGGCTACCTTCCCAGCCTTGCGGCCCTCTGCCCAGGCCCTGGCGAGGCCAGGTTCACCTTTCTCCCCTCTGAGCAGGGTCCGCTGCCAGCCCCTCAGCCCCTCAACCCACCAGATAGACCCTCTTCTGAGCCCTGACCTCAATACTGGTCACTTTCAGAGCTGCACGCCTGTGTGTGTGCTTGTCTCCTTTATGAACCGAGCTCCTTGAGGCATGAGCTCGAGTGGGGGTGGATTCGGGAGCCCTGGGCAAGGGTAGACACCCGGGGCTTGGCTGCACGGTCCCCAGACCTGGCTGGGCGGAAGTCACAGGGGCAATCTTCAAACACCATCATCAGCCCCTCCAGGGATAGGTGGGAATGCTGATGGGACGCCCTCGGGCCTTCTGATGCCTGGCCTAGTTAAGGAGACAGCCCGAAACATGGGCCTCTCCCAGGCTCCTTTTCCCCACCCCACCCCCTTCCAGGTGCAGCTCAGCTGGGACGTAGCCCTTGGGGGTTCTGTACAGCATGTTCTCTAGTCAGAAGTCACCTCTCTGCTCCCAGGGAGGCTGCCTGAGGCACCCACCCGGTGAGGGATTAGTGCAGCAAAAGCCAGGAGGGATCAGTCCCTGTTCCTTTTGGGGGAGGGAGAGGGGACAGCAGGGCTTACCTTGAACACAGCATAGTCGCAGCCGGAAGAGAGCTTGCTGGGCAGCTGGATGTGGTTGTACAACCTGAAGAGACACCCCCGCAACCAACACTGAAAGCTAGGGCGTTTTAGAGCCTCGTTCCAACGGGCCCAGGCCCTTCCATCTCCTCACCAGACCCCACGCCTTAGGCCTCCAGGCCTTTGCTTACACTGGTCTCCAGCCTGGGACTCCATCCACACTGACCCGAACCCTTCAGTCCTACCTTCTTCATGGAGCCTTGCCCTGGGGAGGGTTTTAGACCCCCTAGTGCACCCCTGTGGCTAGAGCCGGGGGTCTTCTCGCCCTCCCCTGGGGCCTGTGCGGCCCTTTTCAGAGCCCCTCCTTGAAGCACTGGGTGCCCCGAGGAAGCTAAGTCCTCACTTTGCGCTAAGACAGGTTCAGAGAGTAGATGGAACATGCCCAGGTCACGGAGCCTCAGAGGGCGGAGCCAGGATCAACTTCCTGCTTCTCCCTGCCAGGCTCTCTCCCTGAGCCCTGAGATGGTGGGATGGGGGTGGCTGTGCTCCAATCCCAAGACCCCCTGGGCAGCACCCGCTCCACTCCAGCCCTAAGTGCGGGAGGGCTGGCCGCTGTGTGGGAGGCAGCCCCTTGAAGGGAGCTCAGAGCCCCTGGGGCAGACACTCACGCCCAGAAGTCCTCCACAGTGTCAAACGTGGTGACCAGCTGCAGGTTGTCCCGCCAGGCCCGGCTGCGGTCATTCTTGAAGAACCAGAGAGCCCACCTGGGGAGGGCAGAGAGGTAGCCACATCCACCCCAGCAGCCACACCTGGACTGACAGGGAGGTGGGATTTGGGGAACAGAACACCCCCCCCACCGGGTTGGGGGAGGAACAGGGGCGTTTAACTCACACCCTCAGCTGGGTCAGGGCTGGAAGCCAGAGGGACCCAAGGCTTAGGCCAGCCCTGCCTCACGGATGAGGAACGGGAGCCAAAGCTTGAAGGGGCCGCCCAAGACCGCCTGGCCAGCACAGAGCTGGCCTGGAAGCAGGGTCTGCGTGTCCAGCTGCAGCCCCCGGCCCACCTGCTGTTCAGAGGGTGCAGTGTGACCTCCATGGGGCCCTCTGCCTGGGCCCTTCTGGGGACGCTCGGAGCCTCTTCTCCCACGGACGCCCCCCCTGCAGCCTCCTCTTCCTCCTGCTCTGAGATCCCACCCTCAGTGTCACTAGCCTGTCAAAGAAAGCAGATGGGGCAGCCTGTGAGCCCCGCCCGCCTGCCACAACGGTTCCCACCCCACCTGGCCCCTGCTCCAGAAAGGGCAGGCAGGGGGGCTTACGGGGCCGCTGGTAGCCATGCTGGGCTCAAGCTCCATGGGATCTCTGGCTCCCAAGGACCGCCAGCTGCCAGCTTTTAACCAACCGGTGCCCTACCCGCATGCTTGGGGAGGGGAGGGGCCAGTGTGCATTTCTGAGATGCTCAGGGGTGGAGAGGCCAACTGGATTCCTTTCTTCAACAAGCATTTAATGAGCACCTTCTGCGTGCAGGCCCAGTGCTGGGGACACAGCTATGGACAGGCAGACCCAGCCCCACACAGTAGAAACCAAGATACGAAAGTAGGGGTTGATATTTGGGGTCTGTCCTCAGGGAAAATAGGGCCTGCCTCCCAGTGAGGGTGACTCCTGAACTGAAGGCCAACTGCCCTGCCTGCCCTGCAGACGGCAGAAGCAGTGACCTGACATAGCCCTAGGGGCCGCCTGGCACCCTTCTCACCATCACTTTGGCCACCCGACGTCATTGGCATCTGCACGGGCACTTATCTTGTCTCTGGAAGCCTCTGAGTTTTTGCAAATTGTCTTCGTCTGCTAACATTTAGACACAGGGAGATGTTATATTAAAAACCCCATCTGTGGTTTCTCTTGAGAATCTGGGAAGGTCGGTCCCTGCACGACCTCCTCTCGCCTGGGTGGCCTCGTCTGTGTTGACAGCGAGGGGAGGTCGGTGGCACAGCCAGGTGCCCAGCCTGCCTGACACTGACCTCAGCGAGCCTTAGCTTTCCATCTGTAGGATGGGGGTGTGGATCAAACACAGTGCAGGAGCTTGCTGTGAGGGTTAGGTGATTGAAGACACACAGCCCATGGATCAGCCCGACTCAGCGCTCAACAGAAGGCAGCTGAGGGCTCCGCCAGGTGGGGGCGGGGGTTCTGGCTCTGGCCACCTTTTCCTGGTCTTCTGTTTTTGGTTTTTTTTTTGAGTTGGAGTCTCATTTCTTCGCCCAGGCTGGAGTACAGTGGCACGCCACCCCAGCCTCGACCTGCTGGGCTCCGGCCATCCTTCCGCCTCAGCCTTCCGAGGAGCCGGAACTACAGGTGTGCGCTACCCCGCCTGGCTATTTTTTATTTTATTGTAGAGACGAGGTCTCACCAAGTTGTCTGGGCTGGTCTCGAACCCGCGGGCTCAGGTAATCCACTTGCCTCGGCCTCCCAAAGTGCTGGGATTACAGGCTGAGCCACCAAGCCCGGCCCCGGCTAATTTTTAAATTTTTCTGTAGAGCCGAGGTCTCACTGTGTTGCCCAGGCTGGTGTCAAACTGCTGGGCTCAAGCAGTCCTTCCACTTTGCCCTCCCAAAGTGCCAGGATTACAGGCATGAGTCACCACACCTGGCTGAGGGACTGTATTTCAGGAAGTACTGGGTCTTTTAAGCAGTTTGCTGAAGATCTAAAGCATGAGCAAGAAAAAACTAGGTGGGTGGGGGAGAACACCTCAGGGAGGGGGAACAGCATGTGCAAAGGCCCTGGGGAGTCAGGGCACTAGAGGAAGAGAAGACAGGGCATGCCACTGGGAAGACAGGGCACTAGAGGAAGAGAAGACAGGGCATCCCCGGGGGCAGTGGAGCACCACTGAGCATTTCAAGCAGCTCCAGGTGGGCTGGGGGGGGCCACCAGACAGAACTTCCAGCAAGTTCCCTGCTGTGGGGGAAACAGAACCCTGTGACTGTGATTAGGGTGCTAATGTCGCTGTCCAGGTGATGGGCAGTAGCAAAGATGACAGATTCAAAAGGCATTTAGGAGGAAAACTTGGGGATATTCAGTAATAGACGGTCCCTGGGAAGAGAAAGCAGGTGTCCCCAATATCCATGGCTGTAGAGCAAACCACCTCAAACTTCAAGGCTTAAAACAGTCGCATCTGCCATCCCAGCACATTGGGAGGCAGGGACAGGAGGATCACTTGAGCCTAAGAGTTCAAGACCAGCCTGGGCAACAGGGCAAGACCGGGTCTCTACGAAACCCCCCCCCAAAATTAGCCCGGTGTGGTGGTGCTGACCTGAAGTCCCAGCTGCTTGGGAGGCTGAGGTGGGAGGATCAGCTGAGCCCAGGAGCTCAAGGCTACCATGAGCTTTGATCGTGCCACTCCGCTCCAGCCTGGGTGAGAGCACTACAAAAACAAAACAACAAAAACAGTCATGTGTTGTGTTCGCCAGTCTGCAATGCGGGCAGTGCTAAATGGGGCTGCCCATCTCTGCTCCCAGGCAAGGTCAGCAGGGCTGGCCCATGGGTTGGGGCTGGAGTCATCCTGTCTCCACTGGCTTGGGGCTGCTGATGCAGGCTGTCAGCTGGAGTGCCCGCTGGGGTGCTTGCTGGGGTCGCTCCATGTGGCCTCTCCCTGCGGCTGCCTCGCAGCGTGAAGGTTGGGGGACCCAAGAGACAGGAGGGTGCTGGGCTTCCTTGCAGCGTGAAGGCTGGGTGCCCAGGGTGACCCAAGAGACAGGAGGCAGAAGCTGCCAGTTTCTCAAGGCCTGGGCCTGACACCCAGGATGGCAGCAGACCCACCGCACTGGAGTCGCAGGGCCCAGATTCAAGGGAGGCGACGTGATCCTACTTCTCGGTGGCAGGAGCAATGGAGAGTTCTGAACAGAGGGAACCCTGGAGGAGGGCCAGGCTGGGGAGAAATCTGACCTGGAGAAAAGGAAGGAAGACTCCCCTGCCGCGGGCGCATTCATAGTGGCCTGGGGGTCCTCGCCCGGAGCCGGCGTGGAGTGACGCCCCCAGCCCCGGCAACCTTCCTGCTATCTCCCATGTCTTCCAACTGGAGGCGGCCCCTGTAGGGTGGGGGTAATGAAGGAGAGACCCTACGAGCAAACCCACTGGCCCTGCTGGGGTCCACGTCGCTACCCAAGGCCCTCCCAAGTCTGTCTGTGGAGGGCACCTTCACCATAGGTTTGAATAAACAGGGCTCTTGAATCCAGAGCCTGCCATTCTGCTCCCAGAATATCCTGCATCTGCCCGTTCCCCTTCCTCCGCTCCCTCCCAGGCGAGCCGGCTCTGGCCTGGCCACTGCCGGAGTCTTCCCTGATGCTCTTTGTTCGCACTCCTTCTTCCCTACAGAACATTCTCCATGCACTTTAGGGATCCTCTAAAATATCGACCAGATCGCTGAACTCCTCTGTTAAAAACCCTCCATACACAAGCCAAAGTCCAGGTTTGGGTTGCAAGTTCTTGTGTGGTCCAGCCTCACGCGCCCTGAGCACACCGAGCCTTCAGGAGGCCAGAATCCTTCTTGCCGCAGGGCTCATGCACATGCAGTTTCCTCTGCAACTATTTTTTTTTTTTTTTTTTT